GATGGTGCCAACATGGGCCAGTGAAGCGACGTCCTCCACAACTAGACTGAAGAACAAAAGGACAGCAACTTGTCTGTTCCCCTCCCCCAGTTCTCCAGCGCTGTTCCCATCTACCAATTCCCCAATGAAAATCTTTTTTAAAAAAAAGAAGAGGAAATGACAATCTGATGTCATTTAAATTCGGGAGCCACAGATGTTGTCAGAAAGTGAAGCTTTCTGCTGCCTTCCAGTGCCTCCTCTTCATGGGTCCTGTCTTGGCTCTGAGCTGCACTGAGCATGCTCGGGCTTCATTCATCCTAATTGAAAATTTAATGTCTGTCCCCCCTGCTCCCTGGAGGCCACTCACCATCCCTGTCTTTCTTTCCTGAATCCACATTGCCAAGCACATTGTCACCTTTGGGTAGTCACCACCTCTTGGGTGACAGAATGAAGAGCACTGTGGGGATTACCCCTTAGTGCTAACCCTTCATCTGTTCTGATAGCACACAACTCTCTTGTGGGAGGGGATCATGATATCCACTCAGGTCCACACAATTTCCCATAATGTAGTTCTCTTGGATGATCTTAATTGTCAAAAAAATTGTATATAAACCCTGTGCTTTTCACGTTGTGAAAGGGAAGGTTATCTTTGACCAAAACAAAACTGACTTTAAACCCTTTAATCACTCCCATGATTTCCCAGAGAATGTTCACACATGGCTTGATGTCACATGGAAATGATATAACCTAATTCATACAGAACACGTGGAATTATGAAGATATAGGTTTCAGTAATCCACTCGGCTTCATAATATTTTAGACTCTTGTGATGGTTGTTTTTCTGTGTCATTTTGATTGGACCACAGGGTAACAAGACATTTGGTCAAACAATCTAAGTGTGTCTGGGAGGGTGTTTTGAGATGACATTAACGTTTAAGTAGATGGACTGAATAAAGCAGATCACCATTCTGATGTAAGTAGCCCTCATCTAACCAGTTGAAGGCCGGAATAGACCAAAAAGGTTGACCCTCGAGTCATCAAAATGACAAAATATAATTTAGCTAAATTCAGTATCACAAAACTGGAGTCTAAGGCTTATAGCAAAGGGAACAATGAAGGGCACAGAAGACGTAAAAAAGAGCACAACCCGATTGCTCTGGCAGGGGCTTAAAGGAGAATGAGTCTTCTCCACTGACCAGCCTTCAGCTGTGCAAAACCAGCCACATGGTTAATCTTTCATTCTTCCCCAGATGTAATCAATTTGGAGACAAGGAGGGGAAATCATGCCAACTGACTCACAAAAGACTAATTTTAAATAAGAGCACCGAATTACTAATTCCCTAATTCTATCTGACAGAACAATGGGTATTAGTCCTTTTCAATTGCATTTCAGTTGTATTTCACCTGATTAGTGGATCCATTCAAAAATGTGGGTCATCTCAGTATCATTAATACTCGAGAAGATGATAGAGCTGGAAAGTTATATGACTATTAAAATCAGGTTGATATTATTGAGCACCTACTATGGACTAGGTACTGTTCTAAGCACTTGCGATTCATGGCTCTGAACACTCCTTTGAGTACGTGCATTTATAAAACAGGTGATTCTCAAGCACCTTCATATGTCTGTCTTGTTCTAGTCATGTTAGTATGTATCAGTTACAAAAATGGGCTGATGTAGTTACTTTTGTTATCCCATTTATGAAGAAGGAAACAGAGCCACAGGGAAATTAAATAACTCTCCCAAGATCATAGCTTTCACAACATTTTGGAATTTAGGCTTTCTGACACCAGTCCAAGTTCTAAACAACATTATAGGAAATTTCACTGTTTATAAGAAACAAAGAAGCTGCTGAGAATCTGAGCATCATTTCTCCAGGACAGTCTTTGTGATGGTGAATTTCAAGTAGCAACTTGACTGGGTCAACAACCAGCCACGCGGCAACTGGCCTAAAAATGTAGCTGGAGGTACAGAACCACAGTGGAACCAGCCACCAGGATCACAGTTGACACCAGCAGACCACCAGCTCGGCCAAACAACACATCTGCAACTTCAGTGTACCTAACACACTTAACATCTTCCATTTACTCTGAAAATGAAAACCCCCATATTCCAAAACTTGCCCAGTTTCTTACATTCCAAGTTCTCCAGCTGCTGCTGGCTCTTACACTTGACAGTTCTTGATGCTTGCTTTAGTCTATTGAGCAAATGAGCTCATGTGATTGGTACAGTCTCCTCCTAGTGGAATCGGAACTTAGAAACACCTAAACATCAGTGCAGTGAGCCCCTGGATCCTATACCAGCTTGTGTGGTGTAGACATGTGGGGCGTATTGGTGCTGCAGCTACCTTTCATTGCTGTTTCTGTGCCTGGCTGCTCACCATGCTGTCTTGCCCAAGATGGGCTGGGAGGGTCAGGCGTGGATGCAATCACTCAGCTACCTCTAGCTGACACTGCTCAGGGATTCTCCACAGACATTCATAGCCACCACAGTGGTGACCTGGGTCTCCGTGGTCCTCTTCCGCAGCCACATGTACCTGGGGTAGGTGAAGTCCAGGGTCAAGGCAGGACCTGTGAGGGCTGGACAGGTAGGTCAGGGCAGCAGCGGCTCGGCTCTCACCCCCACCTCGGCCACAGCCAGCTCTGCCTCTAGGGTCTCCAACACTTTTCAACATATATAAACTTCTACGATATTATCATGAAAATATGGTAGTAACTCCCAGAGAGTGAGCACAATAAGGATATAGAGAATTCCAGGACAAAATGACATACAGAGCTTTCTAAGTGATTTTCACACTGAAATCAACAATTTAACAAAATGAAAGAGAGTCAATAAAATGATACACATATGTAAGTATGTGTAGATGTTTATTTATACACATCTACATCTACATACACATACATATATAGTTATGGATATGATACATATTCCATATGTGTGCCTTTTTCCTGCTGCAAAAGTCGTCCACACAGAAGAGATAGTAGAGGACAGAAAGATAAACGACAAAAATGTATGACAGTATTACTAAGATCTTCCCATGCACAATTTATAGACAAAAAAAATCTAAACCTTTGGCCACGTCAACCAGGCCAAGATTCAAGAAATTCTCCTAAATTGACACCTCTCCTTGCTACCTGAACAATTCACACGCCACACCACACACACACACACACACACACACACACAAACGCGCGCGCACACACACACACACACACACACTTCCTGATGAACTATGTTGAATACGACACTGTGCACGTTGTAGTAACTCCTTTGGAATTCTACCACTATTCATCCACTTCAATGAAAAAGCCTCTAGTTGTCAGTTGGCGATATTAGAATTCTCTAACAGAAAATACACCTGAACTCAGATTACTTGGAAGGGCTACCAATATCATCATTCAATATGATAATGGTATATTTTCAAACCAGTTCAGAGAGAAGCACCTATTTGGAATGAATTTGTGAAACTGGAAATTGACTGTTCACACTGATATTTAACCCCATCAATTATGACATTTCCTGTTCATTGGCACACCAATGCAGCTGCACACCCAGTTAGCCCAGCTCTAGGCCACAGTGTGGATAAGGATGGGTAGTAGCAGCTGGAGGAGGAAGCGCGTTTTTATCCCTTTCTCTCTTGATACCTGCCCATTGCGCGCAAAAAAAAAAAAAGCCTTTCCCTGCCTGAAGGTGTACACTTGTTTTTTTGTAATGATATCAGCTAAAAAATGTTGTGTTCAAGTCTGAGGTCAATTCTTGACCCAGACAGCCTGTTGTTCGTTTTGGGAGTGAATCTCCAGGAGGGAGTACGATTTGGGATTGGAAGAGAAGCCGGCCCTCCCACATTCGCCCTCCGCCATGTCACGGACGGCCAGCTGAGGGCGCACTTCCTATGTGAGGGCTTCATTAGCCCACACATTCAACTCAGTTCAGCGGATTCCTTTGACTGAGCACACCCAGTTCATCATTGTAACAATGGCATTCTCTCAGGTTCCCCAAATGTTCAGCAGGAGACTCACGGAAACAAACGTGCCTACAACGATTTTGAAAAACAGAGCTCCTAGTCAACTTTTGTCCTCTCCCTGTGGCTTTCTAATTTAAAGAGAAAGCATGAAGCTAGAAACCTCAAGGGAACCAGAGCACTAGTGTGGACTGGCCTCAGGATGGAGGGAGTGAAGCGATTGCCTAAGGGAGTGAACGCATTCAGTAGAGCAGGACTGGGAGGAGCATGGGAAGAAGAGTACCAGGTGCAGGGACCAGCCAATCAATACCACACATCTGTCCCACTCCATTCTAGATGACTCCTCTCACATGTTTCTACCCAGCACTCTTCACTAGGTGCATGTGAACACCTCTGACATATGTACTGAACGTTTTCCATGTTTTCCAGAACTCTTCTCAATCCCATGGAAGTGCAGCTTTTGGCAGGCACTTTATGACAAGTGGTAGAACGGTCCTATAGGACTTAATAGAGAAATACTACAATGAAATAGATTTATATAACAAAATAAGGATTTAGGATTTCAGAATTTTAAAAACTCCAAAACTTTTCTTTGATCAGAATTTAATAAATAAAACAATGTAAACTGAACATGGAAAGGTAAACATGTTTTGTAAATTGTAATGCAATATAAATATGAATACATAATTACATATGCTTTCAAAAATTATAAATATGATAGATGCCAGAAGGACTGGAATAATACATAAATAAATAAATAAACAAACAAACAAAGACACACACTCACACAAACAAGCACAATGGCAGTCACCTCTTAGGGACCCATGACACTGGACCTGAATTTTTTAACATATTCTTGATGAATGCTCTGCCAAAAGAACTGCTACATTAAATTCAATCAATTCTGTAACTGAAGCCTAAATAAGAGCCTTTTGAAATCACCAGAAATACATGTGCAAGGATGATATGGCACATTCATCAGTGAGAATCATTTCAAGGTGACCCCAGGTCTCCATCCTTCTTCCTTAACCTTTCTTGCAATTTTGTTGATGAAGAGAAGCAAGTCATGATTTCCTCTCTGACAATCTCCCAGGCACAGTCACTGTATTTCTTCTCTTTCAAGTAGAGACGGATGCGCAAGAAGTACCTCTTCACGGCCAGCGTAGGGTCCTTCTTTCCCAGGGCAGGTTCTGCCTGTCCCGTCTCCTGCTCCAAACAGGTGTCCAGGTCTTGCAGCTGCCAGTGGAGTCCAGTGCGGAGCTTGTCCAGCAGGGTCGTGTTCCAGGCAGCAGAGGACCGCTCTGTGAGGAAGACTCTGGAGGTCTGCCAGAGCAGCTCGCACAGGACAGAGATGGCCTGGGTCTCCTGCACCTGGCTGCCATCCACCACCTCCTCGGGGAATCTGAAGGCTTTTCTGTCATCCAGACAGAGGGAAGGAGAGATTCTCCTCATTTGTCCCAGAAGCACGATGTTCTCCCTGGTGACCAGGACGTGGTTTGGAGACAGGTTGCAGCCCAGAGATCCCCCAGGGCCATAGCTGATCACCACCAGGGCCGTGAGGAGAGAGAGCGGGAGGGCCATGGAGAAAGGTGGGTGCTGGTGGCCTGGCTGAGCTGAGCGTCTGATGAACCTTGGACTGCAGGTTCTCTGATGACATTCTTTCCAAGCACGGCCATTAAATAGGGAAGACAATAATTTTCATTTTCTAAACATTTCTCTGCACTTCCTTATTTTGTTTTCATTCATGTGTTCTCTGTGTGGTCAAAGAAGATATCAGTCTACACTATTAATTTTGCAATAGGAGTTCTTAAGTTTTTCATAAAGCACAAATATGCCAATCAAAATGGATATTTATCAATCCAATGAGAAGTGTCTTTGTCCAAAAGTCAGAACTGTATGTAGGTTTGAAAATACTCAAACATGTGCACGTACTCATGTACTTTTTTACTACATAAATACTGCTCTTCTCTGCCTTAGAAACAAATTTTGCCTTGAATCTGGGCAACCTTTTTACCTCCTTACTTTATTTACAGAGGGAGACAGGCTCCCTCAGCCATGGGGTTTGTGTATTTTGTAGGCACTTACCATACCATGTATAGTAAATAAGCCCTTTAGCACCAAGGACTGGGATTTGTTTACTATTATATTCTCAGCAGAGGCTCATTATCATAGTGAGTAAGTTTGTGGGATGCTTCTCTGCCTTCTAGAACACAATCATGCAGGTCCATGTGGTCCAGTGACTTCACTTGGGCCACAACGTCAGGACTAACAGAGACATAGCCCTTTCTTTCCACCGTGTCGTAACTGGCCTATAGGGCTCCTCAGGTGGTGCCAATACTTCCAGCAGGAATCCTGGTTCTTTTCTGGTGCATGTAGGTTGGTGATTCTAATAACAAGATAACATTGTTTTCCCTGCACCGACTCATTCACACAGGCGGTGTCACCTCTAGAAAGGCTTTCCCTCTGAAGTGACAGAGTGTCCTCAACCCAAACTCTCCTGACTGGCTCCCTGAGGGCAGGCTGACCACATGCTGAGGACTTTAGGATTCCCCACTGTGGAGAGACTGTGTCTTTGTTGGCAAAATAACCATTTTTCCAGGATCCTGGCCCTTCGCCCGGGACGTCTGTGTTGTGCACCCTCGTTCTCACTGGTGCCCTCCGCCAGACCCATTACCCAGGTTATCAAGCGTGAAAGCAGACCTCAGTGCTGATACCAAATTTATTTTTTCTAAGTGGGTGGATGAAATAATTATTCAGTTGTAATTATTTCACCTTTAGTAGGCAAATAATTTTTATTTTTCCAGTACAGCTTTTATTGTTTCATTCTTTTACTTCAGTTATTGGACACTTGTTATGCCTACAATTTCTTGGCTAGGTACAGGAGAGCCAATGATGACGTCTCTCAGCAGATACATACAGGACAGAAACTAGCGAAGTTCAGTTGTTCATTCAGTCTGCGTATTTCTATTGGGCTCCTTTGTTCATCCTTCTCATTCTCGTGCTCCGAGGGCAATGAAGCCCAGGGTATTACATCAGGGAGACATAGCCTCCTTTCCTTTATGTATTCGTGCTATTTCATTTTAAATAAAAAGCAGCAATATCAAAAATCTTAATATCTTATTTTTTTGCAATGTGTTTCACTAGACATACTCTGTCTTGCTCCTGTGGCATAATCTGTTTCATCCTGTGGCTAATACAAACAAAAGGAGGCAGAAGAATGGCAAAGGGGCTTCACTGTGTTTCTCTGTAATTTCCAAGATTTCAGAGATTTTGTTTCTCACTTCAGCTTTCCTAGAAAGCAAAACTTGACAGTTGTTTGTGGGCAAAAACAAAACAAATGTAATTCAGGATGTCATGAAAGTGCAAGAAGGGAAGTGACTTTTCTGATGACAAATGACCAATTATAAGTTTGCAAAATTTAGTGTGGCCAAGTTGGGGACCTGGAGCTATGGCAGAGGGGAAGGAGGAAAGCCAGTGTTGAATTACAGAATCAGGAAATGGCTGCTTCTGCCAGAGGCTCACAGAGGAGCACCTCCTGGGTCAATGATCAGCCCTCGGGTTGCAATACCAGCCACTTCATTTTTCTTTCATTGAATCCACATGTGATCAGCTGAGGAGAGAAGGGAGGAATCACACCAAGCAACTCTCAGGAGTCTGGTCCCCTGAGCCCCAGTTGCTGGAACACTAACCCTCTCTGGTAGGACTTTAGACATTAACCCTTGCCTGAGCACCCTATCTACTTAAGAAATCCACTCAGGCAATTAAAAGTTTGCCTGAGAAATCCAGAATGAAGAGAGAGGGAATTAAGAAAAGATTCAGCTCTTAATCTGGATAATAACGACAGTGGCATTCCAAATGATAACACCAAAATTTATTGCATGCTAACTATAGACTAGCCACGGTTCTAAGACCTTTGAGATAATTAGCTAAATTCTGAATAACCCTAGTTATTACACTCATTTATGAAACTGTTTCCAGAGAAATATACATCTGGAGGGATGAATTTTTCTGAAAGTACCAAAGATTCAAGGTCAAAACGTTAAGGAGGTCTGAAATAATGACCTGTCTAGAAGGGCCTGTCAAAAGAAGTGAAGGACTGAAATGGGCATGGGAGTGATGAACCAGGAGAGGCCATGACATGAAATCAGAAAAGTAGGGAACGTAAGTGATAAAGGATTTCGAGTTCCTCTTCAAATGCCAAAGAATTGGTGTCTATTGTTTGGTATGTCAACAGGGAGTGGTATGTATGAGTCAACTCAACTGACTGACTTTTAAGAAAAAGTGGACAGAATTCTTTTTTTTTTTTTAAGATTTTTATTGGGGAATTGGGGGGATGGGAACAGTGCTGGGAGATCGGGGAAGGGGAACAGACAAGTCGCTGTCGTCTCGTTCCTCAATCTAGTTGTGGAGGACGTCGCCTTACTTGCCCAAGTTGGCACCATCATTGCGCTCTTCCCTGGAGAGGAAGATCAGTCGCCAGCTTCTGGACGGCCGCTCACTGCGGCTGCTGGCCGCTCACGCTGGCTGCTGGCTACACACGGTAGCCCATGGCAACCCACTGCCACAGGGACTGCAGCCTACGCCGTCGCCAGCGACTCACGGCAGCCCAGCTCCAGGTTGAGCTGTTGTTCAGCATCTTAGCTGTGGAGGGCAGTGTTCACTGGCCCTCATATGTGGGATCCGAACCGGGGCCCCCTGGCATCCCAAGCGAGTTCTTAACCATCGCGCCACTCGGCCGGCCCGACAGAATTCTTTTTAACTAGTTATGAGGGAGTGGATTTTTCTGTCAACTGAACAGAAGTGTGCACCTGGCACTGGAGTAACCCTCGTCCCTTCCAATACTCAGAACACGGCTGTGGTATCAGTTTCACGGGTGCTGAGGACACTGCTATTGGCCTTGTCTCTGTGGGAGAACTCTGTGCTCTCAGCATCCACTTCATCTTCTCCCCGCTGAATTGGAATGACCTGGAGAAATAGCTGACTCAGTGATGCGCATTCGTTTCTTATTGTTCCATGTCCTGAAGATCTACCTGCCTGCTGCAGTCCACACTTCAAGCGTCTATGATCTCCTTCCAAGTTGTGGAGCTGCTGCTGACTCTCAACACCACGTTTCTAGATGTGCACTGTGATTTATTTGGAGCAACTGTTTGTCGTGGTACAGCCCCGTCGTAGTGGAATCAGAGGTGAAACAGCCTAAACAGAGGCCCAGATGAGCTCCTGGGTTCTTTTTTGAAAAACTTCCAACTTTCTTTTAAGAGAGTCTTCATGCACCTTCCGAAAGGAGTTATTTCCAACGTCCTGCCGCTCCACACCCACAGCAGCAGGCTCTAAGCTGTGAAGTGGCCTGAAGGAACAGTAAAGGGAGTGACGATTCAGGAGGCTCTGGCCAGCTGAAGCCTAGAGAGGTACCCTGCCTGCAGCTGGGGGGACTCTCCCTCTCCAAGATACAACAGCTGAGGAAGTGGGCTTACTCAAGTATTGGGGTGGGTTCTTTCCAGTACAGAGCCTCTCGGTAGCTCTAAAATGTAGGTTGAGGATCAGACAGTTGCGTGGAAGGGAAAGAAGCCTGCTTTCTGTTTGATTGTCGTTGTCCCTCTTGGCCAATAGGTGGCTCTCTTCCTTTGTAAACATTTTCGTAGTCCCCACAATAAAATGGACCCGACAATCTGGTTTCTTTTACCTCCAGCTACTGTTACATCATGGTAACAGGGACACTCCGCAGTTCCAAAATATCCATCGGAAAGAAAAATAGTCTCTTATATAGGAGTTTCTGAAACACCTAGAATTCTCATTCAACTGTTGCTTTTAATTGGTGGCTTTGTACTCTTAAAGGGAAATTGGTGACCAGAAACCTGAAAGGGGCAGGAAACAGCTGTATGGTTGGGCCCTGCAGGTGAAGGAGGAGTGAGTGAGGAGAGCACGCTGGGGATTCCTACACTGGAGTAAGAGGAAGTGGTTGTGATATGGGAACAGAAGAAGGGGATTCAGAAAAGCAAGGAGAGAAGGAGGTTTAGAAGACTAACTTCTCTTCTACATAGTTATGCAAGCCGCCATTTCCTAACTGTACACTCAAATCAGACTTATCTTGATGTGAATAGTGACTATACTTTAGACTTCATACAGTTTCCAGAATTCCATATTGTAGACTGTCATGCTTTTGCAGATATTTTCTGAGAGATGGGAGAGTTCACTATTCTGATATATCATGTAAGACAGTTAAGTTCGTGAATTCATCCTAGAAAAAGTGCTACATACCTCATTGCTGAATAGCAATATGGTCACCTTCGAAGTACTCCCCTTGGGAAGCTATGCACCGATGCCAGCGCCTAGTCCACCCTTCAAAGCAATTTTGGAACTCTTTTTCTGGAATGGCCATCATAGCTGCGTCGTATTGCCCTTGATGTCCTGAATATCATCAAATGTCTTCCTTTCAATATTTCCTTTATAGTTGGGTATAGAAGAAATCATTGTGGGCAGATCAGGTGAGTAGAGAGGATGTTCCAATACAGTTATTTGAATACTGGCAAAAACCTCCCTATCGGACACTGTCCTGTGAGCTGGTACATTGTCATGATGCAACAGCCATGATTTGTTGAGAGAAGTTCAGAGCGTTTTTGTGTAATTTTTCATGCAGCCTTTTCTGCACTTCCAAATACTTGTAGTAAGGTTGCTTAACTGTTTGTCCAGTTGGTACAAACTCTGAATGAAGAATCTCTCTGATATCAAAAATCCATTTTGACTCTGGATTTGGACTGACGGAACATTTTTGGTCGTGGAGAATTGGCTGACTTCCATTGTGCACTTGGACACTTTGATTCAGGGTCGTATTGGTACCCCATATTTCATCACCAGTGATAACATGGCCCAAAACATCGTCTTGCCTCTCTCAAAGTACTTGGCACACATCGACTCTCCTTGATTTTGTTCATCGGTGAGCTCCTTTTGGACCATTTCGCACACACCTTTCTCATGCCAACATTTTCAGTGAAGAATTTCCTGTTTCTCTATCAATGTTTATTTAGGCTACAGTCAGCCGATGATTTTGACACACTACTCAACACATTTTTGCAATGTTTTCATCAGTTCTGCTCGTTACTGGCCACCCTGACGTCTCTTAATCAGTGATGCGTTCTCTCTTCTCAGAAGAACATTTAATCCATGTGTACACTGCCGTTTTCTTCATGGCATTATCACCATAAACTTGGACTATCATGTCCCTGATTTCACTTCTGCTCTTGCCAAGTTTAACAAGAAATTGAATGTTTGTTCATTGTTCTAATTCAAGCTCAGACATTTTCGTGACAGCACCCAAAAACACACGACAATAATGAACGCGACTCAGCAAGACACTGCCACACATCGACACGAACTCAGCTGTGAGACACTGATATACCAAGGTAATGAAACCTTACCGAGTTTTTTGTACAGTGCTGCTGATAGAAGCACACGGTTGCAAGTTCGCAAACCTAATTGTGAGACCTCACATCTGTAATCAGGAAGAATGCAAATAATGTTAAAGAACATGAGAATTCTTGGCATATCCACCTGGTCTTGAAAACAAAGTGAGGGAATCCTAGTAAATACTAAACTCAGTTTGATAAAGGAAGAAATTCGGAAAACAATTACCAAACCACATAATCTCTGAGACACTATTATCTGTATTAATTAAATAATTAATAATCAGGGTATATCTGCTATTCATATTGTGGATGAAGCTTTAAATAAGTAGTTCTAGGTAGATTACTTGGCAATCTAAGAGGAAATCAATGTCAAATCTCATTTCATACCATAGGCAATAATAAAAGCTTGATGAAATGGAGAATGAACAATAAGATTAGATTTTTAAAAAGAGAGTAAGCCAGGGACACTATCGTAAGCTCATGAGAATAGCTTACCTACGAAAGAAATGCTCATTGCTTTTCAATATATACACATTTCTAACTTCTTCATACAAAACAGGACATGGCTACAGAGACTTTCCTGGCAAAGTCACTGAATGCAGCCAGATCTCAGGATCTCCTCACGCACAAACCAACAAAATAAGGAGAATTAAGTAGCATATATAAAATACATAGGCGGCTCTCAAAGATGGGAACAGGAATAATATTTTAAACATGTTATGACACCAATTGGGGGGGGGGCAGAGTGATAGTTAATTTTATGTATCAAGCTTATTTAGGCCACGGTCCCCATATATTTGGTCAACCATTGTCTAGATGTCTGTGAAGGCATGCTTAACACGAGACTATAGGCTTTTAACATTTACATTAGCAGACTTTGAGTAAAGCAGATTACCTCCCTACTGCGGGTGGGCCTCATCCAATCAGTTGAAGGCCTTAATTTTAAAAAAGTCTGACCTCAGGATAAAAAGGAATTCTGACAACAGACTGCCTTTGGACTCAAACAGCAAGTCTTCCTAGGGTATCGAAACTGTTGGTCCTGGTTCTGGAAAACCCTGAGTAATTCTCTGGGAAACAAAGTATTCCCAAGCACTGTGCATCTCCTGAATTTCTCCATCCTCCCATCCTCCAGAGGGGAGGACAATACAGCGCAGGACACAAATCTGTGGAAATTTAACTAAGGTCCTGGACAACCCCAAGGTGGAGGGCAGCAAATCCAAATGTGGAGCATGTTACCTAAGGAAAAGATGGGAGATCGCTCCACAGTTGCAGGCCCTTCCTGCTACCTTAGCAATCACACATACTTCCTGGTGAAATACCGCAATGAGCATAATTTGCTGGTGATAGAAATTCCTCTCAGCTTATACCACAATTAATACATTGAATAAATGAAATGTCACTAACTCTCAAGTGACACCGATACCATTCATTCACAATCCTTAGTTTACATCAGACTTCTCCATTTTGCTATCTATCTAGAGGTTTTATTACTGAGTGAAAGAGATGTCAAGATCATTATTCAAGGTAGCAATGAGAATAGTACTCTATTTACTCATAGTTGATGTCTGATATTAAGAATAAACCTGTGGGGGCCTACCGAGTGGCGCGTTGGTTAAGAGCTGGCTTGGGACGCCAGAGGGCCCCAGTTCGGATCCCACATATGAGGGCCAGTGACACTGCCCTCTACAGTTAAGATGCTGAACAACAGCTTGACCTGGAGCTGGGCTGCTGTGGGTCACTGGCGATGGCTAGGCTGCAGCCCCTGCTGCAGTGGGTTGCTATGGGTTACCATGTGTAGCCAGCAGCCAGCGTGAGCAGCCAGCACCCTCAGTGAGCAGCCGTCCAGAAACCGGCGACTGATCTGCTTCGCCCAGGAAGAGCGTAATGATGGTGCCAACTTGGGCCAGTGAAGCAACGTCCTCCACAACTAGACTGAAGAATAAAAATACAGCAACTTGTCTGTTCCCCTTCCCCCAATTGCACAGTTAAAAAAAAATTAAAAAATAAAAAAAAGAATAAACCTGTGAAACTAATATTGTACTATTGAGAGTTGTATGATCAACGTTTTAAGAGATTCTCCTGAATAGCTTTGAGTTCCATTACCAGGTTGGCAGCTCTGCCTGCCCCACAGCCCTGTAGTGTGTGGACGGGGTGATTCATAGGGAGACTCTGGTCTACACAGTAGGTTGTAGGCAAGGAACACATCTTTCTCTGGCCCTTTAACTGCCCAGTCCCAAACAGTCCACTCCCAGCTGGGAACCAGAGTCTGACACTCCTTCTCTTTGCAATAGACAAAGGGTAAGGCTACAGGCAGACCCAAGACAGCAATAGAATGTATCGTCACCACGAAGTGGCCTTGTTTCGTAGCATGAAGAGACGTCCACAGGAAGTGGTAGGATCAGCCTAGGTTAGGAGCCTACCCTCCAGTCTTTTTCGCTGACTTGCTGCGCTTGGCCACCAGGCAGCTCTTTTTCCTCAGAGGAGCTTCCTTAGCCCACGCGCAGGCTGCATCCACTTTCTGTTTTCTTTTAGCTATAGTTACTATGACATCACACTCAACGGACAGTAAAGAAAGCCTCTCATGCAGATGTTTGTGCAAAACCTCAAAATTTGATACGCTTTTGTTTCTACTTGTAATGTTCTGCTCTTTAGGGAAACCTCTAAGCTGAAACCACAACGGAACAGAAAGCAGTTGTGTGAATGGGCTCCAAGGTCAATAGAGTGAATGACAAGTGTGTTGCTGGGGTTTCTACCTTGGAGAGGAAGGAATCTACTGTGCTATGGGGTGTGTCCTGGACTGTGCCAGAGGCTGGCATCATTAACTCTCATATTGCTATGCCCTTTAGCTAGATATTTATTTCTCTCTCTCAGATATTAATACAAGCCACCGTTTCATCACTTAGAGAATAAGACACTTCTTTGAAATGAGGAATGACCATTTTTCAGCCTTCTCTAGAATTCATGACAGAATTCTGTTTTTTTGTTGCCTCTTTTTAGGTCTGTTACTGAAGTTAGGATACGGGTCCTAAGAAAATGATAGAAACAGACATGTTATATGTGGATATGGTGGTGAGAATATTCATTGTTTTTCCTTCTCAATAGAGCATTTAACATAGCATATTAATTTTGATCACTGCTTTTAGGTTTGTATCCCCACAAAAATCAACAATACAAAACATCAAGAACCTTCTTTGTTAGGTTCACCTCTGTTCCTGAGGATGACACACCATCTGACTTAGAGAATTTAATAGTTACCTAAAATGAAAACATAATATGATGGGTAAACAAATTGTGCCATCCATTCTTTAACCAAGTTGCACAGTCAGGCTTGGTGTTTCTCTTGAAGAGAAACTAAGACAAGAAGTTTACTATCGTAAAATTTTTAGAAACAAAAATATCACAAATGTAAACAATGAAATAGAAAGGATGCATTTTATTATATCACCACAATGTAAAGGTGCATGTGCAAGATATGATATGAACAAAAGTAATTCAGATCTTATAAATATATAGATAAATAAATAGTAAATAAATATTAAAATCGATGAACAGACCCATCAGCATGGGCATCTGTAAGTGCCTACTCCCTGTGGAGTGGAGCATGACGTTATCCAATACTCCTGAAAATGTTTGACAAAGTGATGGCATTCATGTCATGATTACAGCACAAGACGAAAGACCCTCTTTGACAAGGTAAAACACAAGGAAGGGTGATATGAGTCAGTGAGAATGATCTCCATGTTGAACCAGGGGTCATTCCTCATTCCTTCATCTTTCCTAGGAGTTTGGTGAGAAAGAGAAGGCTCTCATGATTTCTGCCCTGACAACCGCCCAGGCACAAGGGCTGTAATTCTTCTGCAGATTGAGGGTGATTCTCCTGAAGTATTTCCTCACAGCCAGAATGGAGTCCTCATTCATCAGGGGAGTCTCTTCCACCCCCACCTCCTGCGTCACACAGGCTTCCAGGTCATTCAGCTGCTGGTCAAGTCCAGTGCAGAAGTTGACTAGGAGGGTCTTATCCCAAGCAGCAAAAGAGCCCTCTATTCTGAAGCGGTGGAAGGTCTGCTGGGTCATCTGGTGGACGACAGAGATGGCTTGAGCCTT